TTAAACTCATCATATGTTGTGCACAATATACAGACTATATGTAGACAATAACAAACCCTAAACTAGGACATAATAGGAAATATACTAAATATTACAATACCCCTGAAAATCATCATCAAATTCAGAATCCCCAGGAGATAATCAACCATTTCATTCATACAAAAAAAAAAACTCAATATTCACAGTAAAAGGAGTATTTGATAAGCAAAGCAAAGTTAGCAACACATCATTTCTGTGACAATCATCAACAATTTAATAATCATCTTAAGATCGTCTCCTGTTTCAGCTATGGTCAACCAACACAGTCATACAAAAAGCACTCAATATTCACAGTTGGAGCAGTATTCAATAAGCAATGCAAAGTTAGCAACTTATCAATTCAGTGGCAATCATCAATAATTTCAGCATCCTCTGAAGATCATCATCCATTTCAGAACCCCCCATAGATCACCAACCATTTCATTTATACAAAATATACAGGAACAATAGCATAAAAGGAACAATGAATAATATTTCAATCTGGGGAGTTTACCATTAAGCACTAGTTTTAACAAGAAAGAATATTTCAATCTAGGGAATATGCCATTCAACACTAGTTTCAACAAGAAAAAATATTTCAATCTGGGGAATATACCATTCAGCACTAGTTTGAAAACTTACATGAATTTCTCGAGATGTAGAATCAACAAAATTCTTGAAATCATGATTCTGTGTATGAGTATAGGCAAATAATTCATACGGTGTAGGGTCTCGACCAAGGGCACATGCCTGCAAACAGTGGGATTGAGAAAACAACTATTAGCATAACAAATCTGAGCAGAATAATATGATTCAATGCATAATGGATTATTAGGGAAGTTAGCAGATGGAAATTCAAAAGGCAGGTTTTGTATTCGTCCATAGAATATTCACTTGCAAAGCAAATTGGAAAGCATGTGAAAGGCAAAAACTTACATGTCGTTCAGCATGCTCAATAAATGAGCATGAACCTCCAGTGTGAGAAAATGATCCCTTGTTGCTGCGGCGATTCTTGGAATTCCTTCTTCGTACCTTCTCATATTCCTCACTCTTCCAGTGATTTTGAAAGCTTACCCACACATCTTCCTGAACGGAAAATGATTTTTCATCCCATTGTCTCAAGTCCCTTGTGAGGTCACGGTAACGCTATGACGCTAATCAATTCCATGCATCCTTTATCTTCTCTCCCTCTTCAGCATCCCGTGTAAAATTTTTCTAATAAAATATAATAAGTATTGTTATATACCTAATAACACAAACAATCCACTACCTTTCAAAAAATAAAGCCTAACTCATGGATCTGAACATAAAAAAAAATATTAATAAAAAGACCTTGCCGAGAACTTATACCCTGATTACTAAGTAGTGAAGGAAATGCTTACCTTGAACTCATTCTAATAGAATTCTTTTATTTCTTTTCTCACTTTTGACCAAGTGTATGCTCCGGCTTCCCACCTATCCTCAAACTTGCTTCTAATTTTTCGTGAACACTCTGCAAGTTGAACCTAATACAATTACAACAAAACGCAATTAATATATGTCCTGAAAAAACAAATTTGTGAACACTTACGTATCTCCAACTGCACATATCTCTCTTAATTTAGATTTGCGCTTCCTGTCTTTTGCCTTAGCATGATTCTGTAGTACAGTGAAAGCATCTGAAGTTCCCGTGGAATGCTGGTTTCCATCTCCGGACTGAACTGGGATTGAAATTAGAGGAGAACTAGAATCTGGAATGTTCTTCAAGTTGGAATCAATGGAATTAGTGACCTGAGTGTCATTCAGGCTGGGAGGAGCGCCTGCTGAATTGTTCCCTCTCAGACTCTGGTTACCACTTACATTAGCAGTAGAGTTATTAACTGGACTTGGGTTGGGACTTGGATTCAAACTGCTACCCAAACCCTGATTTCCTGCAGACTTACACTGAGTTGAATTTCTTCCACTATGTTCAACCTGATTTGAAGCATTTGAACTGGTTGCAGGGGCTTCTTTCTGAACTGCATGGTCATCAGTCACTTGAAAGTGGCGTGTTGACCTCCTATGTTTAGATGAAGCCTTCTTGCGCTTTGCTGCTGGTACAAGTTCAGGAACCTGGTTCGGCTTTGCAGCTGCAAGGTTCTCAAGAACCTGAATTGGCTCTGCTGCTGCAAGGTTCTGAGGAAGCTGGTTCGATGTTGCTTCTGCAAGGTTTTCAGGAAGCTGGTTCGGCGTTGCTTCTGCAATGTTATCAGGAACCTGAATTTGCTTTGCTGCTGCAACTTTATCAGGAACCTGGTTCTGATGTTCTGCTACAAGGTTATCGGGAACCATATTCGGCTTTTCTGCTGCAAGGTTCTCAGGAACTTGGTTCTGGTGTTCTGCTACAAGTTTCTCAGGAACATGGTTCGCCTTCTCTACTGCAAGTTTCTCAGTAACCTCCTGCTGCTTTTCTGATGTAAGGTTATCAACTACATTTGCACTGGAGTCATCATTCAAACTCTGATCAGGGGACTTATTTCTCCTTGAGTGACGCATTGATTTTCTGAGTTTGCGAGGCTGGTTCTGAGATACAACTCCTGCAAGGCTCTGAATTGAAACTCCTGCAGTATTATGATTTGAAGCCCCTGCAGTGTTTTCAATTGAAGCTCCTGCAGTCACCTGAATTGAAGCTCCTGCATTTTCCTGAATTGGAGGAACGATATTGCAATACAAAAGTGACTTTCTTGTTCTTGGACACTGGATATCTATTGCAGCTTCTTGATTTGTACCAGCCTCAATCTTAACCTGAAGTAGCTTTGCTGCATTATTTTTCACCATATCTGCAACAATATGCAAAAAAAAAAAAAAAAAAAACCATCAGTTCAAAGTGTTGGTGCACTATTGATGAATTCTGCAATACTCAAAGAAAACCAATAGATACCAAACAGAAACAAAGCAGATTCCAACAGACAGAAAAAAAAAAAAAAAAAAAAAAAAGAAACAGGGGAAAAAAACAGAAATGCTATGAGATAATCACCTGTTGTATAGAGATTGTGGCCTTAGTTTTGTTACAATGTCAATATACAGAGATAGTCTATTTGATACCGAAAAAATAAAACAAAATACAAAGTATTCAAATACAAAAATACAAAAAAAAAAAAAAATCGACTAAACCTACAAGATGGCTATTCCGTATCACTAAACATGTTATCATCCTCATCTTGTAAATCAACATAAACTCCCCCTGAATCATTTAAAAGTATATTTGCATCAACAACATCAAAGATATGATTTTCTACTTCCTCGGCTTGGAAAGGCACATCCGATGTTGGTACATTAAAATCAGCCCTAGGCTTAACTTTACACACAACCCACCAATCACTTTTGTCTCTCTTCATGCTTGGATAAAGCATGTAGTACACTTGCAATGCTTGCGAAGCCAAAACAAAAGGTTCATACTTCCCAAACCTTCTTTTATGGTTGATGTCAACAAGTTTGCATTCTTTATGAATCTTAATACCGACATTTGGAGTTGTATCACACCAATGACACTTGAACAAAACAACACGCATGATAGGAAGTCCCAGGTACTCTAATTCCACAACCTCGGTCAAAGTTCCATAGTAATCACTTGATTGGTCACTACAATTAGACCCCATTATGAACTCCACTATTGAATGTTGATCTCATATCTCCATGCTCACATGCGTGGAATTTATACCCATTCACAAAATAAATTGGAAAAGTCCTCACATTCCGTATGGGGCCAAAGGAGACATCTTTGATGAGTTTACTATTGATGTTGCTCCTTGAATCATGTGCTTATATAACAAATCCAATGTCAATATGAAATATAAACCTAAAATGAATTGCCTACGTATTTATGCAACACTTACATAGGCCCGAAACCAATCCGCGAATTCTCTTTCGATCTTCAAATCAACTAACCCATGAGATATATTGGATTCTCTAGCATGAAGCTCCTCAATGAATACCATTCAACAAATATATTTTTAATTTAAAGTCATATTAAGTTAATAGGAAAAACTAACTTATTGATATCAATTCCAAAAACTTACTTGATGTACTCATCAATTTCTTTATAATTTAGTAAGACGTAGGACATTGCGGCATCATACTCTTCACCGGTCAAGCGTCTTGATATTGGGTGGCCATATGATCGGCCGGGGAATGTGAATACAAATAGATTATCTTCATTGAAATTCACGATCCCACCATCGTCATTACGAGGCACTCTATTCATTTTTGTGCTCACATGAGGCTCAAAATAATGTGAGCAAAACACTGAAGTTTCTTCCACCAAATAAGCATTACATATTGAGCCTTCGACTCTTGCTTTGTTGGCCACTTTCATTTTCGATTTCCGCAATAACCTAAGTCACATAATAAAACTAATATTTATATGAAAACCTTAGAGAGGATTAAAGATTAATAAAAATTGACAAATTTGCACTAACCTTTCAAATGGATACATCCAACGATATTGAACGGGTCCCCCTAATCTTGCTTTATAGGGTAAATGAATTGGAAGAATGCCTCAAAAAGATCAGAGACATAACTCGTGGGCTTTTTTCTCTTTCTCGAAACCCTAATTGTGATGGCACTTAGGGGACTCAGCCCCTTTGGCCGTGGTTTCATTGTCGGCGGATTCATGTGAGCCGCAAAGATCCTTCGCAAGTTTCTTCAAGAAATCACAAGAAGTTTCGGAAAATAAAGATTCGCTAATAAAGCAAGTTAAATTTGTTAATGGAACTCCTACTCTGGAGTATGAAGATGATGAGTTTGAGAAATTAGTAGCTCCGCATCACTTGAGTTTGGTTGGGAAATTCTCCTATGGCTGGCCAAAAATGGAGGAGGTTCACAATGAATTTAAGAAAATCGGTTTCAAGGGGGGTTATACGCTAGGGCTAATAAACCCTAGGCATGTATTGATCCGATTTGAGGAAGAGGAAGATTATCAGAGGTGTTGGATACGCACGTTTTGGAATATTGGGGGATTCTCTATGAGGAATCTTAAATGGACTCCCGAATTTTGTTTTGAGGAAGATCCACCGGTGGTGCCAATATGGGTGGCTCTTTACGATCTTCCTATAGAGTATATGCATCTAGAGGTGATATACTCCATGGCTACTGCATTGGGACAACCTTTGAAGGTGGATACACCTACGTTGAATTTGACTCGTCCCTCGGTTGCCCGTTTTTGTGTGGAAGTCGATCTCACCAAAGATCTACAGAAATCGGTAAAAATTGGGAAGAAGGGACGTAAGCATGAGCAACAATTTACTTTTGAACATATACCATCTTACTGTATTAAATGTAGTAAGATTGGTCATAAGGATTCAGAGTGTCGAGTAGGAACACCATCTCCGCAGAGCAATGATGTTGAAGTCCCGCTCGTGAAGAAGAAGGGGATGAAACTAGCTCCGTCGAAATCAAAGGTGATTTTGAAAGGGGGAAGTCATAAGCCGGATTTGAAGGTCAGTATTCTGCAAATGGATCCTTTAATAGCTAAAGGAGTTGAAATGGAGGTATTAGAATTGCAGGCACCAAAGTCGCAGCCTGCGGAAACCCTAGAGGTTCCGCAGCATGCAGAAACCCTAGCGCGTACCACCCCAGTTGCGGAAGCAATCGATCCACGACGTATCGAATCAACTTCGGGGTTGTCAACAAAAGAAAAGGAGCTAATGCTGGTTTATCTACAGCCATCTCCTGAGAAAATAGCTGAGGTATCACCTTGTTGCAAATCTGCCACAATCAGCGAACAAATTCTCAGTGCTCCAAGAACTAGATGATGAAGAAACGGACCTTGTTGGAGATAAAGAAGATGCTGAGGAGATTATTGTTACTGAGGAAATAGATCATGCTAATGCCATTAATTCAGTACAGCTTGTGGATAATCCAGGTGAGAACTCCAAAGGCTTAAATGACCAAACTATTTCGGATGTACATGGAAATCAGAAAATGTCGCATCGGGTAGCAAGGCGGTTTCCGGATGACTCTTTTGATTTCCAGATTCAGGATGAAGATGATGGGGTTGATGGAGGAGGAAGTTGGTCTGAGGGGGATAAGGATGATACTTTCTTCACTAAGAACGAACAAGGGAATAGTATTGTTAAAAAGAAACGTGGTAGAAAAACAAAGGAAGAAAAAGCAAAGGAGTTGGAAGGAGCCGAATTGCGGCGTTCTCATCGACTTCAGTGAGCCCGGTTTTTTCAAGCAAGTTTCTAATGATCAGTTTTATTTTTTGGAATATTAGGGGAATTAAAAAGCAAGCGTCGCAACGTAGATTGAAGACACTGGTTCAAAGATATAGAGTTGGATTTGTTGTGATTCTTGAGCCAATGCTTCCGGTATATAAGCTGGAGGAAATAAGGAGGGAATTGAGGTTTGCAATGGCCTTTCATCTCCCACGAGTAAAATTTGGGTTATGTGTAACAATCTCTTTACAGTTAAAGTATTAGATGCTGCGGAGCAATGTTTGCACATGGAGGTGGGTATCATTCCGTTGCAAAAACCTTTTCTTCTGACATCAGTTTATGCTAGATCCAATAAAATTGATAGAAGAGCTCTTTGGTCCAGTCTAGAAGCCTTCAGGGATTTAAATCCGGCTTTGCCATGGGTTGTGGGAGGTGATTTTAATGTCATTCGCTCTCTAGATGAATACTCAGGCTCATCACTTCAGGACTATGGTGCCATTGATGAATTTAACCAAACTATTGATGTCACTGGTTTGCTTGAAACGGCTTCATTAGGAGATGAATTCACTTGGGGAGGAACTAGGCAAACAGGTTGGGTGAGTAAACGATTGGGTAGAATACTCTTCTCGGTGGAATGGTTGGACATGTTTCCGAAAAATGCGATTGAGCATCTCGGCCGGACAACCTCTAATCACTGTCCTTTGTTGTTACAATTTGATACTCAAGTGGAAAGTAAGCTGAAACTTTTTAGGTTTCAACAAATGTGGTTGAGGCGATTGGAATTCAGGGATGTTGTTCAGGAGAATTGGTCTCAACCGATTCAAGGAAGTGGAATGCTAGCTTTTTCCATGAAGCTTCAGAGTCTTAAAGCAAAATTAAAAGAATGGAACAAGCTTCAGTTTGGAGATGTCTTTCACAATTTGCAGCTGGCGGAGGACAAGGTGCGGGTGTTGGAAACTATATATGATCGAACTGGGGAAGTTGTGGACAGAATAAATCTTAATGCCGCTAATGCTACTCTATTGCAGAAACTTAAAGAACATGAAGACTTCTGGAAACAAAAGATGAGACTCAAGTGGTTAAAAGATGGGGATTCGAACTCTTCTTTCTTCCATGCTTCACTAGCGGAGAGGAGAACGAAGATGTCAATTCAAAAAATTCAAAATGCTGAAGGTCGCAACTTGACTGAATTGATTGACATTGAAAATGAAGCCGTTTCCTTTTTTTAGACTTTGCTAATGGAAGAGGAAGCTCCTCCAAATCAGGCTAAAGCGCAAACCATTTTTTTTTTGCAGCATTTCCATGATGAGATCGATGATGGCGATAAAAAAGGATGTTAGAGGGGGAAGTTACTATATCTGAGCTATGTGAAGCTACATTTGGGCCAGATGAAGGAAGTTCACCAGGTATGGATGGATTTGGGGGTTCCTTTTATTAGTCTTGTTGGGATATTATTGCTGATGATTTGTTAAATGCTTGTAAGGAATTCATGAGAGGGGTTCCTATCCCTAGAGCCATTGCTAGTACAGTGATAACTTTGATACCGAAGAAACCAACTTTTGCTACATTTTCGGATTTTAGACTAATCAGTCTGTGTAACTTTGTCAATAAGGTGTTTACGAAGATCTTGACGGAGAGATTGAAAAGAGTTTTACCTAAGAATATTTCGGAAGAGCAATCAACATTTCTTGAGGGACGTGATATAATTGACAACGTGGTTCTGGCTCAAGATCTTTGTCAGTTTATTACGCACGGTGCTATTGGTAATAACGTGGTGATCAAGGTTGACATGATGAAGGTATTTGATAGAGTGTCTTGGAATTTTGGAGAAGGTATTTGAAAAACTAGGGTTTCCGGTGAGCTTCATTATATTGATAATGAATAATTTGCACGGAGCATGGTTCTCAGTAATGGTCAATGGTTCTCCTACAGGATTCTTTAAGTCATCTCGAGGTATTAAACAAGGGGATCCTCTTTCCCCTTATCTTTCCATTTAGTGGCCAAAGCAATGACAAGGAGATTGAAGCATCTAGCAAATGTTGGGAAGATTGCCGGCTATGGCACACCAGTGGGTTCTTTGAGAATCTCTCATCTTAGTTTTGTAGATGATCTCATTATTTTTACAAGGGGAGTTAAGCGATCTTTGGAGGAGCTTTCAAAATTCTTTGATGAGTATGAGGTAGCATCCGGCCAAAAAATGAATCGGCAAAAAAGTTTTTTTCTTGTTGCTAAATCATGTTGTGTGCGGAGAGTGGAGATTATTACAAGGGGTTTGGGAATGCAAAAAGGAAATTTTCCATTCATGTATCTGGGCAGTAAACTATTTTATGGAAGGAAGAAGGCCTCAACATTCCAATTCCTACTTGACTCTTTGGATTCGAGATTATCAAGCTGGAAGAACAAGCTCCTTAGTCCGGGAGGAAGGCTTGTTTTACTGAGACATGTTCTTTCGGCAATCCCTATTCATGTTTTTTCCGCAATTTGCCCCCAGTCTCAATCCTAAAGCAATTGGAGAAAAGGTGTCAGAGATTTCTTTGGCAAGGCGCAGCTGAGGAGAGGAGGCAACGTTGGCGTGCTTGGAATTTTCCAACTGAGGAGAATGGTTTGGGTTTGAGAAGCTTTCAAAAGGTGGTAAATTCCTTCTCATATAAGTTGTGGTGGAAGGTTCAAACTGAGAAAGGATTATGGAGCAAATTTGTCTTGTCACTCTCTGAATCAACAAAGAGGCGTACTACATGGAATCGAATCAAAAAGATTGATCATGATGCGAGAGCTCACACGAAAGTTTTGATTCGGGGTGGAAATAAATCTTTTTGGTTTGATAATTGGGCGCGTAATGGAGTTATTTGGGAGTCTAGTTTATTACATCCGCCTATGTCTCATCTAACAATTCAGACTTTTTTCTCTAATAAAAGAGTTTTTCTGTCTGAATTTCAGGTGACCTTGGATTCGCAAGTTGCACGCGACTTGCTATATCTGAATTTACAATTTCAGGAAGGTCGCGACAAGCTTATTTGGCAGGATAATCCTTCAGGCCAATTTTCGGTTAAATCTGCTTATATGAAATTGAGAAGGAGGGGCAATGTGGATCCATTGGCAAGGAAATTTTGGCACAAGTTGATTCCGTTAAAGGTCTCCTTTTTTGTTTGGAAGCTAAGGAATTTTTTGGTTCCTTTCCCAGAGATTTTATCTCGGTTTGGATTTCAGGTAAACCCTTCAATGTGCCCTTTTTGTAAAGCAAATGAAGATAATATCTCTCATTGTTTTTTTGGATGTCCGGAAATGAGTCATATATGGAGGTTTTTTGCTAGCATATTTCAAATTAATATCGTCAATGAGACAACCTTGTTGGGGGTTTTGCTTCAATGGTGGAATAGGGGTTGCTTCTCAACTTTGGTTAAATCATTGATAAATATCATTCCTTCATTCATCCTCTGAGAGGTTTGGAAGATAAGGAATTGAATGTCTTTTGATGGGGCAGCTTTTGATTCTAGAATGGTCATACATGAAGTGGAAAGAGGAATAAGGGATATTTTGATAACTCATGATTTGAAGCTGAGAAGTTTGGAGGAAAGTAATTTGGTGGAGAGAGCTATTGGTGTTAAAATTCAAAAATTTCAAAGGCGCACTTGCTTATTGGTTAGGTGGGCTTCTGAGCAGCGGGAAGGGTATGTCTTGAATTCAGAGGATCATCGGTTCATGGGAGTCGGGATATGGCTTTGTCATTAGGAAGTATGATGGTCAGTTTGTGTATACAGAATCTGAGGGGGAGATTGCTTTGGTGCTGAGGTTTTTGGCCTTTTATTTGGGTTGAGGAAATGTGAGCAGTTAGGGCTTGAGAGGGTTCATGTACAGGCTGATAGCAAAGTCTTGGTGGATCTTCTTGGTTCTTCAGGGTTTGTTCCATGGAGGTTTGAGTCTCAAATATGCGAGATTCAATCGATTTTGTCTAGATGGTCTTATTTATCTTCACATATCTACCGAGAAGCTAATTTAGTAGCTGATGGCTTAGCTAAACAAGCTTCACTTGGATGCTCTGATATGTATCATAGTATGATAGGGCTACCTAGACATATTAGGGGCCTTGTACTCTTAGATCAAAAATCTTTTCCTTAACTCCGGGTAAGGTTAAAGTAGATACTTATTGTAATTAGCATGGGTATGACCATACTCTGCCCTTGCTACATTTTTATATATTCTTAATAAAATTGAGGAAAGGAGAGACTAGGGAACTAGATGGCATGTATGTCCATCCCTTGGGTAGACCCCTTGGGTGCATCATGTCATTTGGCACTGGTTGGCATAAAAACTTACCTCCAGGGTAGACCCCTTGAGTTTTTTTATGTCAGTTGGAACCTGAACACCTCCATATCCTCTCTATTTAAATAAAAAAAAAGAATTGGAAGATGCTCCATGGAGTCAAAGAAACTTGGAGGAAATATTTGCTCCAACTTGTACAAAATAATTGGAATTTCCCGTTGAAGCCTAATCATATCTTCTTCTTTTATCTCGGTACTTGTGAGATCTCTAAAGAAGAAGCTTAACTCGGTCAAAGCTTTCCAAACATTGGTAAGCAACATTTCTTAGAAAGCAATGTGGATTAATCTTTGCATAAATACATGGCAATCATGACTTTTCATCCCAAATAACTTGTACTTGTTAAAGTCCACACATCTACCCATATTTGAAACATACCCATCAGGGAACTTGAGTTGTTTTACCCATTCACAAACCACTTTCTTCTCGGGTTTGCCCAATGAATAGCAAGCTTTTGGATTCTTCCCGGTTGCTTCATCTTTTTCCAACTCTTTACGCTTACAATGAATTTTAATATCCTCCCTTGCTTTAGGATTATCTTTACTTTTACCTTCAATGTTCATCATCGTTTCAAACACATTCTCAAAAACATTTTTCTCAATGTGCATCACATCAAGATAATGACGGATGATGTTGGTACTCCAATAAGGCAAGTCCCAATGATAGCAATCTCGTAGACGAAGCAAA